TAAGTGTGATAAATATTCTAATAGATTAATCAAACACCCTCAATTGTGTAGTTTCACAGCTTTGCCTTTAAATATAGCCAAAGAGTGTGTTTTTCTTTTTTTTTGCTTCTCAACCTCCTTCTGGGACTTCTTCAGTGCAAGAGAACTCCACGCAAAAGCCAATCAATGGTGATTATTTCTACGATCGATACATGAAGAAGTGAAGTTTAAAAGGCGATGTTGTTGTGTGAAGTGGAAGAAAAACACAATGAACACAGATATTCAAAGAGAAAGTGAATAAAAGACATATAAACATCTATATGGTATGCGCGCGCCTCTCAATATAGAGATGGCAAAATAAGACAAATTGGAACGATATTCCATCACCTGTCTCTCTTTCTTGGGATGTATTTCTTCACCCAAACCCACTCCGTGATGTGCCGCGATGTGGCTCTAGTTTGAACTATTACCCTTCGCGACGAGATGCATTTTATGTGGAGGCGATATCATTAAAAAGCACTTAATCTCTTCTGCTGGAGAGCAGACTTGCACAATGTTGTTGAGCAAAAAACATAATAATGTGCGACGTCTGAGTAGGAAACATCCACATAATTTCTCTCCGCTGAGAAGTAATAAATTAATTTCTTTCGAGATCATTTGCCACATCCATATGGGAAGAGTTGCATATGGTTGGAATTATTGTTATTAGTTCAAATATATGTAGTTGTATTGCTGAAAAAGGCTACTGCATTCCATTTCATTTAGTAATTGTGCCAGACAATAAGTCTCACCATCCCAGGCAATCCAGTATAAATTGATGCTGCAATATGTTGAGTATTTATGTGCATGTTGGCAGTGGATTGAAAATAACTGCAAGAGAAAATGCGATTAGTGGGCTTTGAACTTTGCTGAGTGCACTAATTATCAATGCAAATGAGGCTTCAAGAGGATTTCAAAATGTTATGAGGTTGATAAATGTTGAAATTACTGCAATTACCATGTTAATTTTTTTTATTTTGAAAATGTTAAATAAAAACCCCTAAAAATTCCTCTTTCTGTGTCCATCGCACTTTAATGATTGCTCACAAAATACAGCAATTCTCCAGTAAATTATAGTGCAGAATTTTGCCCCCAAAAGAATCACAGCGAGCAAAAGAGGAAGGAAAAAAATGCACTGTATTGTTTATGAGGGAAAAACATGTGTTTTGATTTTCAATTCAACAATAACGACTAGTTGAGTGGGGAAAAAAGTGTATATGCGTAAAAATTTGTGTAGCATTTTCTTTCAGCTGAAAAATGCTGTTTTCTTCGCATTTTCTCCCCTGCCATTCCATAGCATGGTTTAGTGAATGCATTTTCCATTTCGATATATTGCTTCAAGCTAAAAATCACCAACATATTGCGAAATACTTTCATAATTTTTGCTGTTGGGGAGCATTTTGAGCCAACTTTGATACACAACAAATACACACTTGTGTGTATGTAAAATTCAATGAGAAAGAGTGAGAGAGAGAGAAATTAAATAAATTACCCACAAACGTATCTGTGCACGAAAATGCACTGCAACTATCGCATTAAAGAGTTCAACTTAATTTATTGTGACGCTTTTGTCATCGCTAAGAAGCTGTGAAATTGATCTTACACACAAATTCCACATGCGAGTGTGCACTGCAGTGGAGACGCCTGGTGGGGAAGGAGCTTTTTTTCTTGGAGCTCTCAAGTGACGTGGGCTTAATTTTATTGTGGCAAAAACATGAGTTATTGCATTTTTTCGGGGTTTTGTCTCTTCGGGAGTTAATTGAGACGGTGGCAATTACACCTCCATTTCGGGTGCTAAGCTCATTTTTCTTTTATTGACTGGCTGTGTCTCGGGGAAAATGTGGCAAGAGGCAATAAAAGACAAAATACCTTTGATGAAGATTGTCAAGAGGTGACAATGTTGTCATTTCTTCGATTTCTTCACTCTATGGGCTCAAGCCAATATTGCTATACATATAATAAAAACCTTTTTTCATTTATTTACGCACATCGCGAGATGCCAAAGATTAGCGGAGAGTGAGGGGAATAAATATATATAAATGTGTGGATTTTATTGGATGTCACAAAGCGAAATTATGTGGATAATTTCCCAATCTTGAGGGCAGGCAGTCATGGTCATTTGTGAAGAAGCGCGTCGCGCGTCTCTGTGAAGAAGAGCTCCCATTTCCGAATGTGCAATCAAGATGTGTTTTATGAGTCACGAGAGAGTAAAGAGCGGGTCGTGAAATCGATACAAGGTGTTCACATTTAGTCGCAGTTTTTGATGGTCTATTATGCGGATATTTGGCGGGTGTGTGAGTCCAGCCGAACCCTTTTTCGCCGCCTCTTTCGCAACATTGCATTGCGACACAGAGCGTTGGAAAATACATGTGTAAGAGATGGAAGTGTGTGGAAAAATCTCAAGCAAATCATAGTCTTTATTTGCGGTTGAATCTGAAGCACATCAAATGCGATTTGGTAGAGCCGCGAGATTTGGCCACACACAACACAGGGAGAGAATATAAGGTGATGGAGAGAGGTAGAAAAAAAAGAGTCAATGTTGAGCCATGCGCAGGTGAATTTTCTCAAGAGTTAAATGCACTCACGCGAGTGTGGATGGGAAACTGGTTAACTTTGGAATTAATACAAAATTTTTATAACAGTTCTATAGAGATTGCCTCATGAATAAATTATCTGATCATAACCCAAATATTTCTCTCGTTTGGTTGCCATGTGTTTGCAAGAAGTCGAAGGCTCAAAGTCCAGTTTGGGTGGGAAGGAGATGAAAATCTATACGCACATTTATGGTTTCAAGCGATACTTTATCGTGGCCGAGGTGATAAATAAAATGCCAGAGATGTGCATCACAAGGTGTGGCGACGGTGTACAAGAACCTTGTCCACAGAATGCAAGTCGAAGAGGCGCGCATCGATATGGAAAATTCAGTTTCATCAGAGCTATGGCAATTCACATGCACAATAGATGTAGAATTTATGTTTCTCAACACCCGAATGGTCACTCTAATTGTGCTGGGTGAATTTTGCAGAGACAATCCGAGTGTTTGGAAACATTTATGAACCATCCATAAAGTCATAAAGTTGTTAAAAGTCATGAGTTTGTGAATAATTTGGCGAATTGATATCAATATTATGGCAGCAATTATGACGAAGGGGACAATAAAACAATTCAATTCGGGTGTAATTTGGATGAAAACTCTCTAAAACATCTAGACTAGGTCAATGACCAAGGGCTGAAGACTGCGGGAACTGTGAAGTTGAGAGAGCACCGAAATGATTTAATAATTGCTTAAGCCACTGTGTGTTGATTCCATCATTGGAAACATGCCTAAATACAAGTTTTTCGGTTGAGTGGATATCTATTGAAATGGAATTTCGAATTGATGTACAATTGCAAGTCTCCGTATCTTATCTCAATCTAGAAATACTATACGATGATGCCATTTCTGACGCAGCTCTCTGAAGTGCTTGTGGTGAAAGAAGAAACCTCTCTGGATTTCCTCACAATCGTCGCCCTTAATTTATTAATTAATGAGGAATACTTTTGTGTGCTGTCATTAAGTTTTTAATCTATTGCAACAGAGAGGATGCATTAAAAGAAAAGAGGAGTTCTTGGTCGGTGATTTGCAAAATAAAATCTTTATCTAATAGCAATTTCCAGAGTACTTTAACAATAGAATTGCTTGATAAAACGTTGAATTATTATATTTTCCTGTTCTTCGCTGTGTTGCATTAAGCACGAAAATAAAAATTGTTCAATTTAACAGGTGCACTATCGATTATGTGTTTATTTTCCATTTCATTCTTCTTTTTATTGGGGCACATTAAGTATATGGAAGGGAAGAAAAAGCTCACAGAGCGCGCAATTTGCAAAAACACTCACGGGTTTTTTTCTGTCTTGCCAGCCAAACATGCACTGAATAAAATCCTTCAGCTCACATACCCTTTTGTTTAGCACACTGATTGTCTGGGATTATGAAATTTTAAAATGAGCAAAAGAGTGGAGAAAAAAACTCATCGATTCCATTATATAATTAGTCGTTTTTTTTTCTTAATCAATATCGCCGTTTTTTCGTGCTCACACATGGTAAATTCAATATCTCTGTGTGCTATTTGATAATCACTTGTGTTGCCCAGTGCACAATAATTGTGTGTACATGGAGAGTCTCTCTTAAAGAGCAGCACAGAGGAGGTGGTTTGATGTTGCAACAATTATTAATTTTATATAACGCCAATATTCAATATGTGCACAATATGCAAAAGCACATATTTGACGGCGTGTGCTGCACTTCCTCAATTAAATGCATACGTCGGGACACCTTCAGAAGCGTCGCTGTGCTGGGGGGCACTGAAGATGCGAATGAGTGGCAACTCGTTCACTGTTGATTGAACAAATATATGTGTCAGTTCTTCGCTGACCTTCTCTGCATCAGCAAATTATGGCTCCACTGAGAATTTCACTCATTTCACTGGTATTTCCAGTGACGTGTTTTTTTTTTTGAATGAGATCCTTGTTGGTTAATGCGTATCATTTGCCAGCCCTCAGGGCAATTTCCCATCATAATTGTGTGTACTTTACGTTGTTAATGCATTAGCCACGTGTTTTTTTTCGGGAAGAATGTGAATTAGATTACCGGTATAAATATGGTAAACTGGTTGATAGTGTCCAAAAGTGACTTGTCTCTCCCGTAACTGAAATCAATCGCTCATAAATGTCTTATGGAAAATCACACATGAAAAGCTGTGTTTGACCCACGACGAATTATCCAATCAAGAGCTCAAACAGCAGCCAATAAATATTCAATTTGATTTATCGGTTTCGATACTTAAGGAAAATCTCAATGGGCAATTTTGCGGTGATCAATGACCTCGTGTTCAAGAGTGAAGAAAGTGAATGCCTGGGGAGCCCCAGTTTGGGTGAATTGAGTCATTCTTTTTTCCTGACTAATGAGCGCCTTTTTTTCTCTCTCTTTCTTGCACTTGCAGCCATGCACAGCAAAACCATTGTTGCCCATCACACATCCTTGCATGCGTGAGTACAGCTCGGTGCACACACAGCAGCCGGCAGGACCAGTCAGAGACTACCAAGTGCAGGTGGATCCCTATATCCTCCTTGAGGATGAACTCAAATTCATCTACGATGATATCCGACAGGTAAATTGGCCGTGATTATCAGTGGAAAATTCGCCACTGGCGTAACCAACGACTCAATTGTTCCAACCTTTTTTTTTTACTTTGACATTGTGACCAACGTGAATTGGGCGATACAAGAAATTAACTCAGTTGACGTAATTGTCACTGATGTGTGTTTTTTTTCACATACACAAAAGATTTATGTTTAATTAGTGTGGCAATTTGCGTGCTGTTCTGCAAAAGTTTATGAGAACTGTGAGAGTGAAATGATGTTCTTCTTCTTCGTGTCTCTTTTGCAGTTGTTGGCAAATGGAACGAAACAGCCAGAACTCGATACAATCGCCTCATACTATTTTGATGGTCAGGGCAAAGCCCTACGTCCTATGGTGACGCTTCTGATGGCAAAAGCAATCAACTACCACATCCAGAACAAAGAAAATAGGTAAAGTGTCTCTCTCTCTCTCGGGGATCTTTAAGGTCTAGGACCGTTTGATGGCTTTTCACGCGGCGTGCTTCAAACTCTCGCGTGGATGTTGATCTTGAGTCTATTATATATCGAATGGGGAGGAGGGGGGAAGGAGAGAAGCCGTCAATATTGTTAATGTAACACAAACTTTCCTCACGAATTATGCTGTGTGAATGTGGGTATGGATGATTTTGGGTGGGGGCGCGGGCGGGTGATTGAGAAGGTCTCTGTGAATATGAGCAGAAAAAATGTGTGGTCAATGTTTTCTCTCAAAAAATGATCAATGACAATTATGATCTCTTTAAATCATCAATGAATAATTTTTCATATAATTTAAAGTCGCTCTAGAGAGGCCTTCCTGCGCCTCTCGGCGTCGGCGGGGGGTTTTGCAAGAGCTCGTGAGAGGCGTGAAGAGTGTGTTGTTGGCGAAGTTTGTTTGTCATCAGGGGAAGAAATATCGCGAGGCAGAGAAGCGTTGATAAACACATGGACCTTGACTATGCTGGTGATAAATGTGTACTGCCGGGTGAGGGGGGTATTTTGGGCGGACAATGAGACAATGAAGAGTAACCTTTGCGCGCGACAATGGGGGAGATTTAATTGCGACCGCAGCACTTATGTTTTCCCTCTTCTTGACAGTAGCATCTTGCATAACCAGCGACAAGTGGCGATGATTTCGGAAATGATACACTCGGCTAGTTTAGTTCATGACGATGTCATAGACCAGTCAGATTGCAGACGGGGAAAGCCCAGTGTAAATATCCTGTGGAATCACAAGAAGGTGAGTTGAAGATATTTTTTCTAATGTTGATGTTGTTCTTGAATGTCCCCAAAATGCAAAGATGTTAATAATAATCAATCATGCTTATTGGTCACAACTGATGCCCATCGGCATCTTGTGGCAAGTCTCAAGATCATTTTGATTGAAGAAAATGATCAAGTTGTGCCCATTCCTATCTGGTTGGCCGCAGTTTGCCATGCGGCGGAGCGACAGTGAAGACCTATACCTTGCAATTTTCAGCCACAATTTTCCGAACCTTGCCACTTCTTTTGCCATACAAACAGTCGCGCTGGTGGCCGGCTTATTGTGGCGTAATTGCATCTAAACCACATATAATACAAGAGTCCAAGTGTATGTCACCGGTCGTTGGTGAATATGATGAAATAACCAATATTTCTAATTATAGTCACATTGGCACCAATTTTGAGTTTAGCTCGCTGCTCTATGCTGAGTCTCTGTTTTTTTTCTCGTAGTCAAAAGCCCCATCGTCTTTTTCAAGCTCCGTACGCCTTCCCATTAAGAAGTTATACACGCCGAATGGATGTGGCTAGAAAAAACACACATCTTGGACAAGTTTTCTTGTTTTCTCGCCATTCGAGCCAACGGCAACCAACAATCATAATGTCATGAATGCACAATGTTAGATTGGAAGGTTCAAAGATGATGAAATTTCTCAATTTAGTCATGAACTTGATTAGAGAATTGTCGATGGGTGTTGGAGGAGAAGAAGAAGAAGGTGATGATGAAGAAAAGACTGTGAGATGTTGTGACTTTCTCATGGTAAAAAAAAAACCGCGCAATAACAATGGCAATCGAGTGGATGGATGGAGTTTAATCTGCCCTCGAAGATGCGCAAATGAAAAAGAAATTTCTTCTCTGGATCTTTGCGTGCATCCAAGTGTGGCGCGCGCGCGCAACACTTTCATGATGGAGGAGATGAAGAGAAGTGTTATGGCATTCCACAAAGGGTGGATTGGGAGAAAAATTCATGCTCAGGCGAAGAGATGTGTGTGCGCGATAAGAGTTATGGAGATAAAGAAATTCACTCGGTGGATTTAATTGTTGTTGAATCTCATTTAATATGATTCTTCGAAATGGAATGGTAGAAGAAGAAGAAAAATCTTTATTTCTTTTCCATTCCATGGGCGTGCGCGCGAGTATCCAATGTGTGTGCTCTTGGTCGTGTCGCATGTAGAGCGTGAAGCATCGAGAGTGATCTTTCAATTGGAACAAAACAGAGACTTACACTTTTCAAATAACAGGATTTTGTGCAATTGAAAGTTTTAATTGAATTGCACGCGCGCGCTTCGAGTCTTTTGAGTCATTCTTCGGGGATTTTTCCCTTACTCAAGTGTTGTGTTGTTGTGCGATGTTTTTGAGAATTTAGCGCGTTTGTGCTAAAATGTCCAGATTTGTTGGTACAGATCTTCAGAGGTCATCTTTCCAGAAGTCAAGTGGCACTTTTGCCGGGAATTTTGTCTCCTATTTGCACATGTGTCATTGGGAGTTAATTGAAAAATCTGAGAATTCAAGTGACGCTATTTGAGGCTTTATTTGCCCTGATTCGATGCTTTTTCTCAACTGGACTTTGTGCTTGTCTGAGACCTTGAACCTTGTATCTTTGTGAGGGGAAATGATCTTTGGAACTCTCACTGTAATAAAGAAAAACGCGTTCAAGTTCCGCAAGTCGAGAAGGTATTCCGATGAATTATGATAGAAATCTGTGGCTTGAGATATTCAGCTCAAGGAGATAGAAAGTGATAAAAGTTGCGTGTATTTTTTCCAAGAAGATGAATGGTCATTCTCACTGTGATTCGCTCTTTTTATTTCTCTCTGCAATGCACGCGCGCAGCTTCACATCTTGACCGCAGTTTGATGCTGATGGGCGAGAGTGACGGCGCGGGAATGGGATTAGAAGACGCGGGAATCTTAAATGTCTTGGACAAGATACACTCGAGATTGTGAGTGTTTCAAGGCCCTCCTCAAAAGGGTGACCATTTCACAATTGCAAGACACCACGATTGATCTCTCAAGCTCATTAACTCACGCTGACTCTGCAGCGGTTAAGGCTTTTACTATTATACAGTTATAATTGTATGTTTGTGTGGCTGTATTCAAATTCAAAGGAGTTGGTATTTTTATGATCCATTGCAAAAGTGGATTCTTATCTTGACTGGTTGACGACCTTGCAAATTTATCATATTTTTTGAAAGTAGACTCTCTGCAAAATGCTGCAAATTGCTGCTTGGCAGTTTGTCAATGAGTGCGCGTTTGAAATTGAAAAATAAACGATTTCCAATATTTAAAAACCCACATTCAAAATTCCGCATTTTCTCCACAATTGCTCATTTTTCCGAGTAAAGCCAATGCGCAATGGTAATATTGTGCAAAAGAAGGGGCGCGAATGCATTTTCTGACCACCACAATTGCTGCATTGTGGCGACGCCTATGAGCATTTCTTAGACGCGATATCCCCGAAGAAGATGTTGTGACGAAGAAGACACTCAATTGACACACCGCGCAGAGTGTACGAAAAAAAAATTCCAACGTATTTCAACATCCTCACAAGAGCACACCAGCATTTTGTAATGTTGATTAGTGTCTTACTGTGAATTTGTGTCTCCTATATGGTTGAAAAAGTTGCAACTGAAGACTTAAAGAGGCAAGATAGTATTTCTTTTTTCAACAATTGCGACAATTTTTCGTGCAACATTGTTTCTCTGGCCAAAAGGAAGAGAAGCCACTGCGCGTGCTAACAAGAGTGAAATCCCAATTAAGACTCTCTGATTTTTATGTCTCGCTGAAGGACTCTTTGGTGTTGATGAGCTCATATTTTGTATATCTTAATCGTTGGAAAGATGCGCGATACTTTAATTATAAAGTCTGAGGTGAATTTCTTTTTTCTTTACCCAAAAAATGAAATATTTTCCCATATCTTTGGGTAGTGTTTTTTGTGTGTCGTAATTTTTTCGTCAGCTGAAAAGTTGTCGATTACGTGGTTTGTTCATCGATCTCCAGAGTTTTTCTTGCATAAGTGGCACACACAGCATAACATTTTGTCTTGTCTCATTTTTAATATTAAATACAGAGAAGGATGGACAAGTGAGACGCGCGGGAGTTGAGAGAGAGAGACAAGAACACGCAGTGCGAAGCCCTTCGATTTGACCTGAAAGTTGATCATTGCGGACACACAATCGATGTCATTTATAAATTGTATATATAGACAACCGTTAATTTTTTGACTTGCAAGACGCAAGCGAAGAAGTCGAGGTGACGCGTCGCAAATACCAAAGAGTTCATCATTTTGGTGGTGATAAAATGATGTTACGTTTGAGAGGAGTCTTTTCTCTCTGTGAAATTGTGATTCGGGTTGATGCAATAGTCAAAGTCTTCTTGTGGGACGGGCAGAGTTTTTCCTTATCAATTCACTCCACGTGTGCCGTTTGTTGGGATTCCCCATGGGAAGCTCTGTTAATTTAATTCTCCTAATGTTCATCATTTGCATTCACGGAGATTTCCGCTTCATCTGGTCGGCTTTTTTTCCCTCCACTCCAGTCGACACTTCTTCATTTTCTCTGCATACAACACACGACTTTTCTTGGCGCTGAGCCACTTGATTTGGTTGCTTTTGGCTCTGTGTGTGACGCGCGCGCACGCTTACATTCCACACAACACAACAACACAGAGAGTCCACAAAATGATCAGAAGCCAAAGCAATTCGTATCTGGCATTTAACTTATGGACCACTTTCCCCACTTTCTATTCTTCGATACGATTAAATTCTTTTCAGGTTTTCCTCTCCTTGTCCAAATGGCCAATTCAAGGCCCTGGCGAGATTTGCCTTTTCTGCAAATCCAATGGGACCTCCACACATGATTTGTTATTTGCAATTGAGCACACCTGAATTTATTGTTGCCTGGCCCAAGAGAGTCTCTCATATTGGCTCAGATATGAAGAAATCCAAATGCGTGGCGGTTAGAAAAAAAAAGTCCATCGAACCACACCACTCATGGTCAATCATCTCTTTTCCCATTCATAAATACCTTTAAAATTTTTCACTTTTATCCAATAGGATGGCGCATGATTGTTGGCAGATCTTTTTTCTCACCTTCTGACTTCATTCATTGATTCTCTCTCACATCGTTTTTCCTCCAGCGCAACTCACTTTCTGTTTCTCTCCGTCGTGGCGATCTCGCGCAGAGAGAGAAAGATATTTCAATGCTTTGGAGACTTGGAAATTATTAATTTTCACTAACGCATTCTCCCCAACTGTACAAAGCTAATTGCAATCTTACTGATTATATTTTCTGTATTGTGCGGTGGAAATCTGCCAACTTCCGAAATTTCACGCGAGAGTCTTGCGCGCGCTGGTTTTTTTGGCAATGATTGGCAATGAAGTTGTAGAAATTTTTTCTGGTGCAACTTTCTTCTAATTAGATGATGTGTTTTTTTGAGGAGGTTTTGTGTGCGTCAAATGTTGTAAATTGGGTCACACAGCAGTGTTGTGCTCTGTGGGAGAGTTTTCTGATTGCAGAAATTGCGCACACACACAGTTTATTGCATTCCTGGTTGTCAATGCAATCACGTGATTTTTGAGAGAGCTTTAAATCACAGGTGATGGGAATGACTTTGCACCACAGATTGTGAATGAAAAGAACCAAAAAGTATGGGAAAGTGAGAGGGATATTTATCAGCATTAAGTCAGTTAATTTTTGGACAATATCCCTGAGTGAATAATACTTTTATATCAATCTGTTTTAATGGGTTTTTATAGCTGAGCGCCGTGAGTAACATTGGCCTTTTTGTTCCCTTCCTCTTTCAGGTGACGATGGCTGGCGATTACATTTTGGCCATAGCTTCCATTTCAATTGCCCGACTAAAGCATGATGACGTCACAATATCCCTCAGTAAGGTAAATATATATAGATATGAATGTCAAGCAATTCTGCGGAGAAATGATGACAGAAAATGCGATCTTTTTCGGCCAACTCGTCTGAGGCGGACTTTCTTCACTTTTCATTTCTCTCTCTCTGTCTCTCTCCCTCCATTTCTCCTCTCGCGGAGATCTTTTTCTTTTTATTAATGCCATTTAAATTGCAAATTTTTCAACGATGAGGCCGACAAGTTGTGGTACATTCTTTCGTGTCTCTCTTTTTTTTTTAATCATACACTGCAAAAGTGTCTTGTAAAATTTGGCGTTGCCGAAAAAGTGACGACGATGTGTTTGTTGGCTTTTACTTTCAACCTCGCACTCTCGCATCTGATGAAATTTCAATATCCGCTTTTGGCCACCATCGTGTCAACCTCCTTATGCGCGAATCTCATCGCGCGCCGCAGTCTTTTCCTCGTCTGAGCCAACAGGGATGTTTCACATGGGCGAGATTCGCCTTCTCGCGCGGCCAACAGAGAGATAACATTGACTTTTAAATTAGCCAACAGTCTGAGGCGTGTTACCTTGTGTCAACAATCAATCGTTTATTCTTCTTCAAATAAGTTAACCTCATATTACTTTTCGTCCCGTCCGGCTCTCATGATTTTTCCACCACAAAACCTATAAGAGCCAAAGAGTGTCGCGGAATTTTCTCGTGCGGATCACTTGTGAAATTGTTGTATTTGATGAAATATACTTCTTGAGCGCACACACACACACTCAATCAGGCGTTATTTTAACAAATAATGAAACATAATTTATTCAAATGTCCTCGATTTCAGCAAATTCCTCAACTTGTGCGCGCTTTTATTTAATTTGACACATTCTCTTGTGCGCTGTGCGATCATCGTGCGAACTGAACTGATGATGGAAGAGGTGCGCTTTTCAGGAAATTTCCCAATAACACCATAAAATGAAAACCCTTGAATTTTTTTTTCGGTGAAATTCAATCTGAAATTCCACGAAATTTTCCACACAGATTTGTTATCTGATTTTTCTTGAAATTGTGACATTTATACGAATAATTTTATTCACAATTGCTTCACTTCTCTTTCGGTGGCTAAAGCCTGGTGGTGTGAAAGAATGTCAATCACACTCACATTTTTCTGCAAAAGATATCGATTTTGTGGCCTACATAAATAAATTTTGTGCCACGAAATGGCAATACAATGTCAATTTTACATGTATTCTTTCCTCTCTCTCCCTCTCGCTGTGCTTCAGATCCTTACTGACTTGGTTCAGGGAGAACTCATGCAGCTTGGTTCCAAGGAGACGGAGAACGAGAGATTTGCACACTACTTGACCAAAACATACAGAAAGACAGCTTCACTGATAGCCAATGCTTTAAAAGCGGTGAGTTTGAAGATGTCCTATGAGAAATTGTGAGACCTTTTCTCACTCCGATGTGTCAATATAGGTCGCCCTGTTGGCCAATGCGGATGAGAACATCTCGGAGATTGCTTTCCAGTATGGCAGGAACATAGGGTTAGCGTTTCAGCTGGTGGATGACTTGCTGGACTTTGTGTCAACGGCTGAAACGATGGGCAAACCAACAGCGGCAGACCTCAAATTGGGACTGGCAACGGCACCAGTTCTCTTCGCTTGTGAGAAAGTGAGTGTCTTATTCTCTGATCCTTTTGACTCTGATTTTCAATTGCATTTAATCTTCTGTATTTCTTTGCAGTATCCTGAATTAAATCCAATGATAATGAGACGATTTCAAGAGCCAGGCGATGTTGAGAAGGCCTTCGAATTGGTGCACAAATCCCAGGGATTGGAGCAGACCCGCTTCTTGGCGCGCAAACACTGCATTGAGGCGATTCGATTAGCACAAGAATTGGCGGAGTCGCCCTATCAGAAGGCACTGGTGGTCGTTGGCGATTTAGTCCTGAATAGAATGAAATAGTTAACACTTCTTTCCAACTATTATTTACTATCTCAAGCATACATTATACAATTGTGGGGTGGGTGAATACTCTTGTGCGACTGCGGATGGTGTGTGAATGTGGAGATGCGAATGGATGCGAGCGTGCGTGTGTTGTAAGATATTCAACTGTCTCTCTATTTCACTATGGCTGAGGGACAGCGCTCTGTGGCTCTGTTTTTCCACCTCACGACGCCCGAGAGTGATGTTGAAGAGCGCATTCACATCCGACAAGGCGAAAAATGCACGAAACTTCCTCGTAGTGCGCTTTGCGGGTGTGAAGAGAGAGAGAGAGAGATACATATATAAAAAGAGCGTTATAATTTATGCTGTTCGATTGTGCGAATCCGAATGTGAGTGCGATGAATGCGATCAAAAAAAGGTACACTTTATATGTTTCTTTTTCATATCAATTGTGGAAGCAAAGGGCAATTAATGAGGGAAAAAAATACACATCGACCATTTTTTTTTTCTTCTCACCTATAAATCTCTCTTTCGACATTGCGTGGGACTTGACTTCCCACGAAACGCACGAGTAAATCCCCAAATAAAGAAAAAATAGTCAATTGCCGCCTAATGAAGAGTTTAACTATTTATTTAATTCACGAGTATTTCATTAATGAGACTATCTGAGACATATACAAAAAAAGAGAGAAGTCACATTGCGGGAAGCAGTCGAGGAGGAAATGGAGAAAAAAAGCGTGAGGAAATAGCGAGATGGGCGGATGATATTTGTGTCATTGTATTGATATTTTTTAGCAAGATGTTTCATTGGTAGAATTTGAGGAAGAGATTCAATGATTTTCACCATCTTTCGTCCATCTCGTCGGCACAGATTGCAAGAAAAACAGCGAAATTGAGCGATTCTCTGTAAATTTTGTAAATAATTCAATTAGAAATCTACTTGAATGTACACTTTTTACACTGAATTCGAGAAGATAATCACCTTATTTACTCTTAATTGCAATTTAATTGTAACTATCTATCGTGTCAGTGAGAATGTGAAATGTTTGAATGATTTTTTTATATATTTAAGTTCACTGTAAATAAAATTGAAGTGGAGAAAGAAATGAGCGAATAGATGTTTACTCTAAGACATGTATAAGACAGACAAGTATCGATAATTATGTGGAAATATTTCTAACTTTTGTTAAAGATAAAGGAAAAAGAAGAAGAAAATGAATTGTGTAAAAAAAAAGACGCTTGAGAGGTGGAGAAAAGTAGCGATAAAGAAAACCTATTAGGATGTGAAGTTTAGAGAATGTTTAAAATATTCTTAATAATTTGAGAGGAAGATTATTTTGTATTCATTTTTATTAATTTGTAAAATTTTGTTGAGCGCGCGCTGGTCAAATAAAATTTTTTCAGTGGGAAAAAAAATCACAATGAGGAAATTAGTCATTTTTAGCAGTTTCCAATCAATTGCTAGTCATTATAATAAATAATTTGAGTAATTTCCAATATAAATAAATCATCCCTGTAAGTTTTTTGTGTCTCCGCTCCCGCCCTTCCGTTTATTATTTGGTAAGCTCGAAAGCATGGTTTTTCTTTCCACACACAAACACACAATTTGTATATTTTTTTCACGTACTAATGATTCGTTACCATTGCAATTTTTGACGCAAATTTTTGGAGGGAAGAAGAAACACTTTACAAGAAGGTCTAATAAGCTCTGTTTATTCTTTGTTTTTTTTTGTATTATTCTTATTTAACGAAGAGTCGAAGGAGGTGGAAAAGAAGCTGGCGAAGTGGAAAGAAATTTATATTGATTCCAAAATATTATGTTCATATAATTTGAAAAGGTAATTTTTTTTAGATGAAAGAAAACACGCAACATATTTTATAAAATTTAGTTTAAACTACCTTTTTGAAGAAGTAGAAGGAAAAATCCATTAGAGACGAAGTGCTGTTGTGAGAGAGGAGTTTCGTGAGGAAAAAGATCCCAATGAATGGATGTGTGTGAATGCGTAATACTTTTTATTTTGTGTAAATAACCAAGAGAGGATAGAAAGATTGTCTCTGTAAATATATATATATTGCATAGAGAAGGAGATAGAAGAGAGAGAGAAAAATATTCAGTTTTTTTAAGCAATAATTTTTGTCTCTTTAAGCCTTGTAACATCTCTTCTTTGTTGTAACAAAAATAATGTTGAAGAAAAGCAAAATTCTACCAATAAACATTACATTTTTTTCAATTATGGCCAAAACACCCGAAAGAGCACGCCACCAGTTGTGTGAATGCGTGCAGAAAGTATTCCTCCGGAGCGTCTGTGACGAGACAGTCCAAAGAGAGCTGCTGCCAGGCCTGGCAACTTTCGCTTTTTTCAAGAAGTCACCGCGCGACCGTCGCGATTTTCTCGCGAGAGTGGCAGCTTGGGTGACGCAAAGTGACTCTCACCTGCCGGATCTCCACTCCCACCCGGACGACGAGTCTGACCAGTCGCGGGAGGGCCGGAGAGCGGCCCGATGCGGCGCTAATTACTTTCTTCTTTCGCACATTAAGCATTCGAGTCGCGTTCCACGTGCGATTTATCTTCATCTAACTTTCGGCGCATTGTTACCGTTGATATGTAATCACCAGGAGAGCTTTGCTGGATTATCCCCGGTGGAAAAATGGGGTTTCGCTCAATCTCTCAATGGGTGGAAACCCTGAAACTTTAGCCTCAAATTTGTGGATGCCTTGATTATATTTTTAACTGATCTATTAATATATTTATTTACCACACAATTTTCATCTTATCTGCAATCATATCGATGTAAATAAATTCAGCAGAGAGACAAGAATATTCCAAAATACCACAAATCGGTTAGCATTGAATTTCCCATCTATCCATTAGCCTACCCAAGGGCGCTCTGGCGAATCAATTCCACATGTCTTCAAATCATATCCGTTGAGCTTTCAATTGAGGGGTGAATATGATTATGTCCCATAAAAGCCACAAGACGCTGAGGATATTGGCAAGGAGTCAATTTGATTGTCGAACAGCTGGGCTTTTCGTGCCTCCAAAAAGGCAGCAATATCAGGTTGGAAAATTGATCGAAAATTCTCTGGGAAATCTGCATTCCATCAACTTTGGCTTCTCTGACAATAAATAAATTACCCATGCTGAGAAAATTACTCCATGAGAGAGCTTTGACCTCTGAACACACAAACACTTCTCAGGCAATCAACAAGCTGTTCTCCGCCAAAAAATCCGCCCTTGATCGATCGAGCGGGGTTCAATAAAATCGGGTGTGTAGTGAAACAAATTGGGCTTGGGGGTGGAAGAACGGAATTCCTTTACGGGCCCCAATTTGCAAATCACGCGAAGGGGGACACTTAAGTGGAAATCTTTATCATATTTCTTGCTTTTCTGTTGATTTTTTCTGCGCACCGCCGAGCATCAGTGGCAGTTTTGTCTATTGAAATAATAACTCAAAAATAGATTGGCTAGAAGGTCTCTCTCTCGACGATGGAGTTTTTATTTTTGTCAAGGGAGTGAACGTGCAGCTTTCGCCCAAGCTCATGGCGGAAGCGCGGGGTTTGAGGGAGGGCGGGCGGTCGTTACACGAAAGCTCACATAGAAAGCGATTGATTTCCTGTGGTTGTGTCCTGATAGTTGCTGTGTTGGGGAATAATAGGCACACAGAGTGGAAGCTTTGCCAAAGACAAGGCGCTCGGAGGGCGGTTAAGTGAATTACAGAAGTGATTTTCCACATATTTCTCCTTTATGTCTCGGCTTTTGGTGCCTGTGGAGCTGCGTATAAATTATAATCACATTACTTTTGTGTGTGTGTTTGTGTATCTCAGAACAGCCTTGCTCGCTTTCCCCATCGATTGGGGTTGTTTTTCGGGGTGGGCGGGAAAAGGTCTCTCGCGCGATGCTTCTGTTCCTGTGCAGTATTGCGAAATTCAGCACAGAGAGCGCGAGGAAAGCGCCAGAACTTTCAGTTCCTCCGCATTCTTCATCACGAACGGTTCGAGCAAAGTTCTCGCGAGTCTCGGGCAATTATTAATTAATTGACTTGGCGCGAAATTGAGTTGCAAAAATGTGCCGCTGCTGGTGTGTTGCTCATCCCACGCGAGGCGTGTGAATGTGGGCAGAGAGAGGATTCTAGCCTGTGTCCAGTGATCGGAGGATGGGAACATTTCTTCACGGCTACGATCATCCCGTGTTGTGGTCTGAGGAGAAGCGTCGCGTGGAGCAGCGGAGGATTGCAGACGAGAGTCTGAAGGTGGTGAGGCAACAGAAGGAGCAGCAATTCAGGCAGAAACTCCAAGACAGGGAGCAGGTAAGGTATGAATATAAATGTATGGGACAAGAAGAAAAAATTCCGCGTCATAGCGATTTTGGAAGCTCGCGGATTTCATTGATTTTCCATACCATCAGCATTTGCATTTTAACGAATTGCGGATGGATTCCCCGGCTTCATGTCGGCTGGGAAAATTAGGCACAAGCGACAGAATTCTATTTTTAGGGAGTCACACAACAACTTTCGCATGGATTCAACCCAATTCACTCCCCATTCACTATTCATGCCTCGACATGGATTCCTTTGGAGCCACCGCGGGCCAGAGTTGGGCGCTATTGACGAGGGTGGTTTGCAGGTATAGTTCCAAGAGTTATGAATAAGGATGTTGGACGTACAGAGGGTGATATATTTCCATTAGGATGATAACAAGTGTCTCACTCAGTTAGTCTCAATTCACCTAACATATCGCCTCAGGCATGCAAGGAAAGCAACTTACTGTCCTGTTTGCCACATAATTCTTCTTTTGAGGGCACAAACAGGAGATAAATGGCACTAATGCTTCGGAGGAAAACTCATTATGTCCCTGACAAATGGTCGCATTAAATATTAAATATTTACCAGGCGCCTCCATCGGGGAAAAGCTCGCCTCGAAACTTCTGCAGAGAAATTACCGCGCGCTATTTTCGCTACACGTGAAACATACATATCGCAAAGTCTCAGTAAGGACATCTTGAGCAAATATTTGACTCTCATGGCAAAATCCATCTGCGTAAATGTTGATAAAGTAAGCCAATTGATGCGTTCGGCACGCATTGATGGCCTTCTGCACAAGCATTTCTCACCCTCGCATATAATCGAAAGCAAACAAAGTCGTGCGCTTCATATTAAAATGATAGCATCAATTCCACATAAATCCCACGGTCATGCCCGCGCAATTTCGCTGCATTGGAGTGGATTTTCGGGGGTGGACGATGGTATTTCAATGCCGAGTGTGTGCAAACGAAGGTGTTGCGTGCCAAGGAGCATTTTTCACCCTAGACAACTTTGCCCATTTTCCACTCAAGTGAGCTTTCATCCCTCCGCAGCACAGAAAGGGAGAATTCCCCACACCCCAGCAGGCGTCTTTGGCAAATTCTTCCTGTCGAGATTGTTGGCATAAGATAGACGGAAGCGTCAATGTTTCCGCGAATATTTTCCTGTGTCTTTCAATTAGCATTTTCTTTAATGAAAATCGCACCACTTGTAAATTTATCAGGGCGTTTCACGCGATTTTGCCAACTTTTCGAATTTATTAATGATAAATTTCAACGCAAAACTGCTAAACTCAAATAATCTTTCCCCCTCTTTCCTTTACAGTACAGGCAGATGATTGAGAAGCATTGTCCGTGGGGAAAACCAGGTGGTGGAGCACCAAATGATACCATTCGCATGACAAACATCACCAAAGTGGGTCTCTTTCCAGAGGCAATAAACGTGAGTGAATGCATAGAACGCAATTGAGGGTAAGAAAATTGAGGGAATCGACTTTTCTTTTTGTTTTTAAGACTGTCCGCAATTATGTTCCACCCCTTCCAATGCCAAAGATACGCGGAGGCGGCGGTGGAGCGCCGATTCGAAGCAATTCGGGTCGCTTAATCACAACGTTTAGAGATGATCCTTCCATCACGTTCAAGGATCAGACGAGAAATATTGTAGATATTGAATTGAGGTACAAAACATCCCCCAAGAATAAGAAGACGTATAAAATGGAATTAGGTGAGTTTCTTGTGTGTTTGTGTGTAGAAATCATGGAATGAGAGCTCAAGAAGGACAATTTTAGATAAAATTGTGGAGGAAAAGCACCAGCGGAAGAAGCAAGAGAATTGCTCTTGTGAGAAGTCAACTGCTGAACCTTGGGGAAAAGCTGGTCCGGGTGGGACTCCTTGGCGTCCTCCGAATGCCATCGGATGCTCCTTCATGGAATCCATGGGCTGGACAGATTCCAAACTACTACAGAAGATGGATTCAGAGACACACTCGGCCTATACAAATCCTAATGTTCGCATTAAAGTTTCTCCGCCGTCAGATCAAGAGGTAATACCCAAAATAATCCGATGTGTTTAAAGATAAACCGTCTTAACGCAACCATTCCAGAAACTCGTTTACCCTTTCCAGATGAAGAACATCAAGGAAGAGGCGCGAAAGCCTCATCCTGCTTGCTGTCTCATGTGCAACTGTCTCTGTGTTAAGGATGGCAAGAATAGGCACGCTCCGCCCCCGCCCCCGCCTCCTCCGCCACCCATCAACAATCCCGTTCCGCGACGCATCCGCCGAGAGTGTGATAAATTGACGCCCAAAGTCACTGAGACGAAGCCGAAGACAACAAATCCAAAAACCAAGGTTCGAACTCGCTCTTACATGATATCGGAAGGGGTTGAACTGGTGCCTTTGCTGGCCAAAAGGAGAGCTCAGGAGCGACCCATCAGCCTCTCCTCGACGGACGTCACCAAGTACAAAGAGGTGGGACACACGGAAAACTACAGCGTCCAGTATCTCAATGATCTCTGTCGGCAGATGAACAAGAGACGCAGAGCTTATCAGGTGAGATGTGGCGCATCTGCCAAAGGGAACTGACTGACCTGTTGTGTTTTCCAGAAAAGCAAGAAAATGGACATCGAGACAAGCAGACGCCACTTTGAGACGTGGAGCAGCTTCTGGGGACGTCCTGGACACGGAGCACCGCGAGAAATAAAGAACAAACTCAATTTAGACGATTTGCTTTACAAACTACCTCTGACGGGTAAAGCAAATTAGTACTAAAGTGTCCATTTAGATTTGTTTTAGCCTTCTTTTAGGTGAAATCGAAAGAACGCATTAGATTCACACGAGAGAATTCTATTTATTGTTGAATGATTATGTTTATTGGTAGTACTTTTGCTGACTTAGTACTTGAGATTAAGCGGATTAAATGGTACTATTTCACTGTTTATTGCGTCTCTTCATCAAGCTGTGCGCGAATATTTCAGCCACAAAGGTAAGAAAACTCAAAGACAGACCACAAGTGAGAAAGATAAAGATGTCTATGAAGTAACTCATGTCAAGGGTGAAGGCCACATATTCATTTACAACCTGAGGAATGTGATTAGAGAGATTCAGGCGATAAAGAAGATAATCTTCGTGTCTGCGGAATGCCTGGAAAAATCCCAATTGCACAAAAATCAGCAGCATCTCATTAATTGCTTCGCGAAAGAGAGAATGTTCGATGATCTTGAAGGCCACTTCCATTGGAATGAGACACTCGCTTAGCTCGTGAAAGACATTCTCTCCATACACCCACATTTCCTTCTTCTTGAGGTGCATCTCGATTACACTGTGCAGCAGAGCGTAGCCTTGGCTCAAGTTCTTAGCCTCAAGCTCAGCTATAATCACTGACCGCTTCTTTATGATGATTTTCTGAAGGAGTTTTTCACTGAAAATGGAATGTTTTGGTGTTGAAATAGAATTTGGGACGCGGAATTAGTCATACTCAGTCGCATCGCCAAATTTCTGTAGAGCTTCCACGACATATTCCTCAGCCCAAATCGTCAAATCGGTCTCTGTCAATTCCTCCAGGGAATTTATGTTGGTCTCAAAGGGTGGTTTGACCAAATTGTGGTAGACAAACTCAGTGAAGAGACCTCCCATGATTGTCGTGAAGATGAAGAGGGAAACCAAGAGGATTTTCCCGGAAACTGTTTGCAGATCACTCCTTCCATTTGTCCTCAGATAAATTCCTAATGTGTGCAGAATAATCTTCATCGCATCCACTCGATTGGGATCTTTCACGAATAGGATGATGTACCAAACAATCACAATCACGAGAAGGATAATGGGACTGTATTTGACGATGGGAATTGCGAGGACTTCTCTGAAATGCAAAGTAAAACGTCAGTAAATTCACTATCTCTGGACTTATCCTACCCAATGCCAATCCTAAACGGCTTTCCAATGGATGGAATGACGATGGCAACGCAATCCATCTCGTGCGGTTGCAGCAACTCGTAGTCAGTGCAGTGCAACTCACTGTAGCTGGTCATCAAGATCAAATCGGGCCGCTCATGGAGTTTACTTGAATAGATATCGGTATCACTTTCATCTCTCACAATGTCCATTCTCTTACTCACAACACATCGTGATTGAGGCTGTCGACAAATTGGATGGCATCGGTCGAATTCCTTGTCGAGTCATGGTCCTGAGTCATGCTGTAATCGAGCTTTGCATTCAATTTGGCGGCAATTGCGTGCGCCAAGAATCCATCGCGGCCCCCAAAGACCACACCCGGGAAGATGTTCTGCAGATCACTGGGCATCCTCACCATCTTCGGTGGTTTGGTGTATGCAAACACGTCCAGCTGCCGCCCATTGAGGTCTTTGGTCTTGGAGAAGAACACGTGCTGGTGCAGGTTGAGAGGGAGTGTGAGGTTCTCGCGATGCGCGGAGGTGAAGATGAGAATGCTGTAGATCTCTCGGAAGTGGTTGGCCGTCCAAATTTGTATGGAGTTGCGCCACAAGATAAGGGCCGCGTTGGACACTGAATACCTCTTGAGAATCTTCATTGTCGTCTCAATTGTCGATATATTCTGTGGGATGGTGTCTGTCAGAGAAATTATAATCGTGTGGGCGGCTTTTCTCTTGATTCTCCTCGCCAGCTCGATCTCCTGCAAAGTGGAAGTCACACTCTATTCAATTGAATTGTTTCAATAGGCGTTACACCATTTTATACACCTCCAAGTTGTGCAAGAAGAGGAGATTTATGGTGCTTATTCTCACTGTACGATTGAGTTTGATATCCTTCACTGAGTGATTCACATCGAAGTACATCTGAGGGATTTCTTCGCCCAATGTTGCTGTAAGAATGTCAGTGATCTCATCCATGTTCGCCCCTCTGCCGTAGACGAGAGCGTTTCTGTACACATGATTTGGATATGAGTTCACAAGAACCTGATGTTTGGAGAAAGCGCAAGAAGATTAGAATTCTCCCAGAAATGAACAACCGCCGACCCCAAAATTCACCTGAAGCAAGAGGCAGAGATTCTTGAGTGCCAGCGATGGTGTGCTCTGGATCACCTTCATGGTGATTATCACCATTCGCATCTCGTCACGCTTTTCTTTATACCGTCACGGGGAATTCATCTTCTGGGTGGAGCCCACGAATGTCCACTTAATCGGCCGTGCACTCCAATTTCGTCCACAGTCCAAACTCAACACCGCGGATCTGATGACACTTTGATGACTTTCTTCCATTTGTCCCACCTGACAAATGACCCTGTGATTGTATGTCTCGGCGAGGCATCGATTTCCACCCATTGATTCACAAATGAAGTGTTTTATGGGTGTTGAGAGAACGAATTGCTATCCTTTATGGCTTGGGAGGAATAATTTTACCAAATGCGTCTTTCGTGTGAAATTTGCATATAAGAAAATGAGACTTTGATGTTTGTGAAGATCATCAATATTAGAACATTAGCATCATTAATCACTTTGCGGTCACCAATATATTAGAGATTATTGTCGTCAGTGTGGATTTTCTCATGGAAGATGAAAGTGGAATTAACTGTTTGTAAAACAGCCTTCATTTCCATGCAATTCCAACGTCAGACAATCTACTATGATTTAGTCACTAATTTGCTAAGATGGTTAATTTCTGGGGTAATGAAAAGATGTGTTTGTTTGGTATTCATCTCGTCACTTTTGCTAATTACCTTTCGTGTGTGTTCATTTCACTTTTCAAGCGACAAGGCGTGCAAAACCTGTGCAAAAGCATATGCAATTAAAAGCAGCAATATTGTTTGGTGCATTCGAGCGCATCCATGAGCTTCTGTTTTGGATTTCTTGCTCTCCATCCGCAAGTCTCTTTGCCAGCAGTGGCTTTACCTTTACCTCCGATCAGCTCGTTAACACGGCGTGCGCGAGAAAAAAAATGTTTGAAATTAATAACTTTGTATAAGGAATATCTCTGTGGAGCAGTAAAATTGATTTTTTGCAGTCAGTACACGAAATACCAGAGAATTTCAATGTATGCTTGCCATCCAAGGGGAAAAAACTTTCTCCGTCAGTGCTCAAATGTCGGAGACAAAAAAGTCCACATCCAAAGTCACTCATGCCAGATTATCGCCCTGTTGATCATCAAACAGTTGGATTCATTCATAAAAATTTCTTAATCGAAATCTCTGTGGGAGCCAAGCAGCCGCGGCGTCTTGTGCGCCGCTTGTGAGCTTTTTCGGCCGCTGAGCATGCGCTGAGGTGAGCAATTATAATCGGACGCGCTCACCTTTGTTCATCTCGCAATTCACTGTCCCAGGAACGCCCAGAAGAGAGCCATTTTCCCATCTGCCTCTGGCCATGATATGCAAAATTCACGCCACATTCCGCTCTGGCGAGGCTCATCCGCTTTCCACACGCGGGACAAAGATTCAGATCTCCATTTCGGGTGGGTTTTCATTAAATTTTAATTGCATCATTGGATGATTGTTGACTTTGTGCCGCTGCACAGACATTCCGCTCTTGCACTTGAGTTTAAGGTGAAAAGATAGAATGTGATTATCCTTTAGTCACGCTGGTCGGATTACATTTGTAAGCGAATTAAAATTCATATTAATGCCTTGTGATGGTGTTGATTGATTTTCATTGCAGAATGTGACTTGATGAATTCAGCAGAGTGAAACACGGCAGTTTAATACAATATGTTTAATTAAATCAATACAATTTATTCACTTTTAAGTTCATAAACTGAACACTACATTGTTCCTTTTCCTGAAAACTGTCGGTGAATAAATATCTGAATATTCTTCACACTTCCCGATCAATTTTCAATTAAATACGTTAATGCAGATGAAGTAATATTTCTTTCAATACAATTCAGTTGCAAAATTTAGGTGAGCTTTATTGGTTAACATATATAGCAATTCCATTGAATAGTTAATCATCAGCAATCAAATACTCACTGCTCAAGGCTCTTGTCAAATTTCACCAATATTCCTATATTAAGTCAAGTTTATTCTCACAAACATCCTCAGGCAAAACTTTGGTATCTCAAATAGCTTGCGGAGTGTTTTTTTTGGCCGGTGAAGACGACTGACAAAGAGACATAGAGATACTTCAAGAAGCACTGCAAGGCGAGAAAAAAAGCTCATCCATTGATTGAATTAAATCGTGAACAATGCCATCTCCTGCCAATCATCCAGTGAATCTGTGGGTTTCTCATTGTTGGCAGATCTCACCCAGCATCTCACGTGTAATTATCGAATTAGCAAAGCTTCACACATTCCACAAAGTTTATTTTATATTTGTTTATCCAATGAAAATGCTCAGTACGCGCTTGTCTCGCACTTTTTTTCACCTGTGTAATATCTTTTCGTCTCCTAATCGCCAATATGCAAAAAAGGTTGGGCTGAGAAAGTTTCAATAATTCGCGCGCGCATTTTTCTTTATAACTCTTCCGAAGATGATGCCCAAGAGTGTCAGACGACACTTTCTTCGCTGAGGAAGCGCACTCTCTGGCATTTTCATGTTGTGTATTAAATTGCCAGAATTTATAGAGCCATCGAGCGTGCAATCACAAAATTATGTATTCAATTCGCTGCTCATTTTTTTTCTTCATCTTCTCTCGCGCGAGTGTGGCTGGAAAAAATCCGTAATTTATTTGTCAAATCGGAGAAATTGATTTTAAGACAATTTCTTGATTATAGGGGACAATCAATTATCTCTCTATCAGTGATATTTCACTTTTTTCACGCCATGCGGAAATCTCATAATGATTTCTTCCCCACCACAAGAGACGACAAATAGACTTAGTGACGCTCTTTTTTTATGCTACACCCATAATATGTTTTATGGACAATTAAAATCATTGAGAAGCAAATAAGCGTTGACAATTTTAGGGGCTCTGGCGAATGGGCATATTTGCTAAATACTTCTCTC